TTTAATATTTTGCTCATTGTCAATATTTTGTGTGGATATTGGTATATGATTACTTATAGCCTGTTGAGTATTTTGTTAATTGTTAATATGCCAAAACTTTACCTTTCTCCATCTCTTTTTGATGTTGTCAAAGGGGGAGAAAAGACAAGTAGATTGTAGATCACAACAGCTATGACTGTAAAAGAAAGGGGGAGCTTACTACTATGTTAAAGATATCGCATGTTGTGTTCACCAAGCTTCGCATAGGTTTGTCATCATCAAAAAGGGGGAGAATGTGAGGGAAAACTGTCTCACAACATACGTTCTCAAGTTTCGATGATGACAAAGTACAACCTCGGATGAATCAGAGTCGTCATGCATACTTACGATGATGACAAAGTACAACCTCGGATGAATCAGAATCGTCATGCAATACTTAACATATTACATCCTTCCTATATCCTTTTAAATCATCATATTTCATTGGCAATATATGTGACTAATGTTTGGTCGTGACAAGATGCACGAAACAACAAACATATCAATTTTTGCAGGTTTTGTAGCTATGAGTCAACCATACCGTCAGCACACAATTTCATTCAGTTCACACGGGTCAGCGCATGAAGGTCATGCGTCGACCGTTAACTTGGCGCATGCAGGTTTAAGAATCTCACGGGTCAGCGCATGAAGATCATGCGTCGACCGCTGACTCGGCGCATGACAGTTTGAGTGTCACACGGCTCAGCGCACGCCGACCCTATGGTCGACCGTTCGCGCGCAGAAACAGAAATTCTGCTATGTTTCATTGATCTGTCAACTGTCTGTTTTGTATATTACTATAAATAGCTGTCTTTTCAATTTTAACAACTAACATTTTTAAGAACATTTTTTAAGAACATTTTTGAAAGCATTGTGAGAAAGTGTTCAGGTCAAGAAACGTGAAAGAGGTGCATCAGTGTTCTTCATCTTCATCGTTCAATCAACTCACAAATCCTCAAATTACAGATAATCAATTTTTTGCTGCGGTTTGTGGTTTGCTCGACGGTGATAAGGTTCGAACGCGTGATTGAAGATCCGGTTCGAGTGGAAGCTGGTGCAGGTGTTTCTTGGGAGAAAACCTTTGAGGTTTTACCTATCAAGACTACAGGTTTTGAAGGCTTTTGTTACGGAATCGTCGGTTCAACAATCAAGCGAGTGCGAAGGTGATTGATTAGCGGAAGGTTGATCAATCTAGTAGCTAGGGCGTTGAAAGGTTGAAGACGTTCCGGGTTCAATTTGGGTGTGTCTAAGATCAGCCGTGCCGAAGGTTTGATCAACGGAAGAGTTGTCAATAAGGTGGCTGCAATCGGAGGTCATTCACATCAAATTGGAGGACTTGATTCATCTTGAATCAAGGGGCAAGAAGTGGTAGAAATTATCAGCAACATTAAGATTGTTTGTATCAATTGTCTATCGATTCTTGTGTATAACTGTTCTACCAAACAGGTGATATCTATTCAATACATATCTCAATTCTCATTGTAGAATTGAGGGCAGACGTACCCCAACGCGAGGACGACTGGGGGAACTGCCTCATCAAATCTTGTGCTCCTTTATTTTCTGCATTTTCAATTACAGCTTAAAAATTAAGTGATTCTAGAATAAGTGATTTTGTCAAATTGTAGTATTGATTGAGTGAGTTGGTGAAACACTGTTTTTTAACTACTAAGTACAATAGAAATACTGTACTAAGGCTTTTTCAATCACTCATTCAACACAAATATCATTTAAGGTATTTGTGCACACCAACTGTTCGACAAAAGTGCTGAACTAAAATTGCCTTAATTTTGCTGCTAGTTTTGGTGTAATTTTTGTGCACACCAACTGTTCGACAAAAGTGCTGAACTAAAATTGCCTTAATTTTGCTGCTAGTTTTGGTGTAATTTTTGATCATTGGAATAAGGAAATAGTACGAGTGAATCACATCTGAGTTTTGCATAAAAGTGTGTAGTGATTTACTATCCGTTATCGTCTTAAATTCATCCGCTTGACGCATATCCGGCTCTCCAATAGTTGTTCGTTTTAGACTATATTTTCCAAGGCCGCTTCCGCATTTGAAAACAATTTTGAAAACCAATTTTATTGGTAGCGCCACTCAAATTTTTAAAAGGGATCTATTCAACCCCCCCTTCTAGATCCGTGCCTTAGTCTAACACATGTCACCCCATAGTTTTGGCCACGAAGGCCTAAGATTTCCAAATCCTCATATAAGATATTCAATATTCCGTGATACATATCACAAACCATAATCTCAGAGTTCATCATCAATTTCCTTTACTTTCCCACAATCAACCCAAAATACCTTAAATCATAAACCACGTAAACCAGCCATAAACACATCTAAAGGCATACATAGAAAATCATGAAATGCGATACTCCCCATATCTTAGCCGATTCAAAGCTTTCACGACTAACTCCGGCAACCTTCCGAAGCTTTTGTCTCCACTTCTCCCTCCTCAAAGCTCTGGCCTCATTCTTTTCATGGTTAACCAAAATGAATCCTCCACCTTCAGAATTCTATTTTGTCAAACTTAGACTTGGGCCACACAATTGGGCTTTTCCCATAATACCCTTACTAACTCTTCATATTGCCCAATTTATCCTTATTTCACTTATATTTATTTTAATCAATAATATTACTAATATTCTCATATAGTATACTATTAATTAAATAAATAGTCCAAAATGCACATTTTCTCAATAATTCCCAAAACCACCGAAAACACCAAAAATACGAATATTCTCAATTAAATAAATTAATTAAAATATTCCGATTAAACTTGGAGTGTTACAACTCTCTCCCACTTAAAAGAATTTTCGCCCTCGAAAATTGTCTAAGTAAACAGAGTCGGATACGACTCCCTCATCTGATCTTCACCCTCCCAAATCCAACTTTCTCTAGTTGGTCTTCTCAAAACTACCTTTACTAAGGCAATTCCTTTACCTCAAAGTTGCTTCTCGTTCATCCACCTGAACTAACAACGCCTCAACAGTCAAATTACCTCTCACTTGTACACTATCCATCCGAATCAATGTACTTCTTCAACTTAGGCACATAAAATACATCATGAAATTCACAATCGACAGCGGTAAAACAGTTTAACATGCTACTTCTCACACGCTTCCGCTGCGTCACTTCCAATACAAATCAATAAAACACAATGATTATATGAAAAGTGGACATTGGGACCTACCTTTTCTTTCAGTAGAGTAACAATTGTTCATCATTGAAGAGGTGCATATACTGAAACAGTCAAACCATACTATTTTCATAACAGTGTAATTGTTTCACCCATCATAGATCTATTCAAGTATATGCTATGTCATTCAAACACACTCACCATGCGCTGCTCAATATTCATTTGTCACAAATAGATATTTCATGACCCATCAACACACAATTCAATCAATATTTTAAACATGGGAAATGCTAACCAGTGCCCTCAGGGCACTTTTTAAAACTTTAAATGGTAAGTTTTTATAAAAGTATGTGCAATGATGTGTAATAATGTACATTGGAAATTGAAGTGTTTGAATTTTTTAAAAAATAATTTCTTAATATGGAATGTTTAAATAGTGTCTGAGGACAATGGTTAGCAACACCCTTTAAACATTAGTAAGTTTTAAACATTAGTAAAAGAACAATGCGAAAATAAAAAAATCAATTCTAACTTCTAAACTAATCCAACATTTGTTTACAACATTCTACAAATTCAAAAACAATACAAACATTTCAGTAGTCACAATTCTCTTTGAATCACTTGTGACAACAACCAAATATATAATAGCAATGATGAAAATCACTCTTAAGTCTTAACTGCAAGAATTCCACACGCATGATTAACCACAATTGGAGAAAAATCGTACTTGTAAGTTGTAACTCGATCTGACTAGCATTGGCAATACAAACTTCAAAGCTTAGCTATGGGCCACATGACTAGCAAATAAACGTGCAAATCCAGAGTATGAAAAAGCTTTTGACATGATCAATTTGGGCAAGCGCAGAATCACCTGAAATGTGGCAACTTGCCTAAAAGAAGCCAAACAATGAAACCAAACCTATTTCAGAACCTCAGAAAACATTGATAATTGTCAGTGAGAGAGATTCAACTGAAAGTCTGTAACAGGAGAGTTCCACTAAGATGCAAAAGCAATGATAAGTTAACTAGTATATCCTTATAGTTTCACCAAATAATCAATTACTTACACTCATGTAGTTTAAAACGTTTTAATCTAATCCTCGTGATTGTTGATTCCCATGAGAATATCAGGAGTAAGATGGTTTACCATTCTAATACCAAAATGGATCATGGTCCAATCAAGGCTCTAATTATTAAAGTAGTAGCACTTGGATATTCAGCATTCAATTTTGCCATTTTTAGGGGGAAACCCGTTTGATCTATATACGAGGAAAAACAGATACGAAAATCAAACCGAAATGATGAAAAAACAGATAAAAAATCCAGTTATATAGAAATCCAGTTATGTAGCATTGCAACTAGGAAAATCAGAAGAAAACTTTTTCTATTAAGAAAAACTGATATAGAAACCTTCTAATTAGTAGGTTTGACAATGAGGTGGACCGGGGCGGGTTTTCTCTCCCACCCCCGACAAAGATTGGTTTTTCCCATCCCCTCCCCCGGCTTTGATTATTGGGAAAAACACAAATCCTCACTTGCACCAGATCAAAGTGGGGTTTCCTTGTCAAAGTCGGTGCGGATTCGAGTGATTCCTAGCCATTACAGATTATGTCGACGGGCCTATATATTGGATACAAATCCTATATTAGCTATTTCTAGAAAGTTTCTTACATAAAAGAATGGTAAATTCTAGGTGGTTGAACTAAAAGAATATGACAGAATCAAAATATATTGTTTCCCTTATTATAAAGGAAACAATATATTCAACAAATATAAGGGAGACAACATAAAAGTGTGGCGAGACGTACTCAAATAAAATCAATATATCATAGTAGAAGTGTATTAGTTTCCCTTATTGAAGCTGTCCTTTCCCTTGATGATAATGACTGGACAATGAGCATGGTGGGCACAGAAGTTGCTAACACTTCCCAGGAACATCCTGCAATCAAAACAGAAAGAAGCTTTATTAGTGGCGAATCCATATAATAAACATATTTAAAGTTCAAATTGTTTAAAACAACAAAATATGAAAAATTACAGGATTTGACGTAAAATTTAGAGCATTTAGCCTAATGTCCAAAATTTAAATGGAATATGCAGATAAATGACAGAGGATAAAGAAAACAAATTAATGGCTGTTAATGATATGGCTATTAATTACTACTCTGCTATTTATAAGGAGATCTATTTACAACTCTGCTATGGCTTTTAACTACTATTTACTAGTATGATAGTATCATATTGCAAAGGAAAATAGAAACCCACATAACTACATCTTCCTAGATTTTGATTTTCAGTCTATCTTAACACCGCAAAACCAACTTACAAGGTTAGAATTGCCTAAGCTTAATAAACTCAGTTTAAATTTTATATCTCAACTTTACTCGTGATCATGCATACAGTGATGTAATGTAATGTCCAAATCAGGCTCAAAAATACCATAAATTATGCCATTTTCTGGTGTAACTTTCTGGTAATTATCAAAACTTGTCAGCAGCCGATTTGTACCTCTTAATAGGGCCAAAAGCTCGAGACCCCATCACAAGCACATCAGCACGCAAATCCTGTACAGTTTCGCAAATCTTCTCCTTTGGTTCACCAACAACAACATGGGTCCTGACCTTAGTATGCTACAGATAAAGAAAAGTCAATAGCAATTACTGAAATGAACACTTGCACAAAAAGTTAAGTTGGGTGTGATTCAAACCCCCAAAATTCTATCCCTGAAACTCTTATGTTCCTCTCCCAAACCACTTAATGACCAATGCTCATACTAAACCAAATGTTAAAAAAAGTGACTATATGCCAAATGTTAAAATTAAATTCAATGGAGAATTATTGTTTAATAAAGATTTGATGCAAGTAACAGGGGTTACAATCTAATGTATTTGAAAAAGAAAAAAATGTATTATAACCATTCAAAATTTTAAATTTAAAAGAAAAAAAAATTCACTAAAATGATATGAATTGAAAAAAAATTCTTGAGCAGTAAATAAATTGTTAGTCAAACCAATTTTTTCGTAAAAAATGAAACTATTTTGGCTTAATTGCAATTTTTACAAACTAAATTGAAATTATTTTGGCACTAAACCATTTAAAGATAAAAATAAGTTACAAGTTAATTAATATATTGATCTGGCAGCCACATAAACATAATAGTATTGCCAAGATTAAAATTTGCCACATCATAAAAACAATTGGTTGAGAGATCCATTTCATAAATCTAAATATTAAGGGATCAAAATTACAAAATTAAAAATACGAGATTAAAATCCTATAGGCTATATAACATAAAATAGGAGAACCAAAATTAATTTTAAATAAATAACTCAAATAAAATCTAGATAGAAGAAAAGAAAAAACAAAATAATTAGCCATTTTCCTTTAGCTTATTATGCACTAATATGTATCTCACTTTTCTTATGTTAGTTTCCAAAAAAAAAAAGGAAAAAGCCAAATAATTAATTAAAAGCAAATTTTAATGCAAGTGTAAAAAAATTTTAAACTATCCATGCCAATTAAACTTTATACATATTCCAGTTTCTATATATCTCTAGATCAACTGGTATCAGTTGATAGTTGTGCGGAGATATGACATAAGAACGCGGGTTCTAGGATATCTCACTAGTTCACCACCTTTAAGGTGAATTCTAGCCATTAGATTATTTGAAAAATAAAAGTATAGATCAATTAAGTGTGTGTTTGGAAAACTTGAAAATCACGATGTAAAATCACGGTTGGACAGAAGCTACTCATACCAGCTTCTCAAAATTACTGTGAAAAAGACCTTAAAGGTGAATCATAGTGTTTCACGATGTAAAATCACGGTTGGACAGAAGCTACTCATACCAGCTTCTCAAAATTACTGTGAAAAAGACCTTAAAGGTGAATCATAGTGTTACATTACATTGAATTTGGAGCAAATTCCCAAAGCATGATTCAGTATGGAATCGGTAATACGCTTCTGGTGAGCTTCAATCGCAGCGGCGAACGCGGGAACTTCGAGATCACCTAACGAAATCGAACTTTCAGTAATAAAAAAGATTGAATGATGAAAATTGAAAACGGAGGTAAGAAAATGTACTGAACTGGGGCCACCGAAAGGGATGGAACCGGGATTAAGACCGGTGGCGATTGACGGCGGAGATTGAACATGGAAGATGATGAAAGAACCGGCGTTGCTGGAATCGGGTGTAGGTGACCGGAGTTTGAGATTTTCTAACGCCCAGCGTAGGCCGTTCATGCTCTCTTCGCTGCCGTCTACTGCCACTACTACTACGGCGAGGTTTCCGGATTCCGTCATCTCTTGGATGGATTATTGTTTTTCGATGATTGACGTCTCTCTTTCGCTCTCTGTGCTTGCTTCTTTTGACTTTCTTTTGATTGCTTCTGTTGTTAGAATATCTTATTTAAAATTATACTCTCGACTTTGCAAAATGATTATAGTTTAAGATTTTTAATGATAGATTAGATTAGATGTAATAAAATTTATTCAAAAACATAATTTGAATTTGGAGAATTTTTCACCCATATACCCATGATTTCAACCCCATAATCCTAATATACCTACATTTCCTCATATTTTCTAATTTAACCAATTTTGACAATTTTTTTTTTTAATTTACAAGGGGGTGCCATAGGCCTTGGCTCCTCCCTTATAAATTATAGGGGGCGCCATCCAGGATGGAGGCACCCTATAATTTATAAAGGGGACGCCATCCCCTTTGACTCATCCCTTAAATTCGAATTTTGAAAATAGTTTTTATTATATAATAATTTTAAAAATATTTAATAAATAATAATTAACAATTAAAAAATATTTAATAAATAATAATTTTATAAATAAAAAATTTCAAATAATAAATAAAAATTAAATTTTATTTAATAAACTTAATATTAAAAAATAATTACAATTTTTTTTAATTACAAATGGGTACATATGAGCGATTTGGTACACTAATTTCTATGACTTGGTCGGTTTAAATGTCTGCCCGTACCGCATCCTCGATTACGTACGTTTCTTGGTCGTCTTTGTGGTGGAGTTGGGTCGATCGTGTCGTCTTCAAGAAATTGCATCATTTCGGCCCATGAAGTCGATTCCATCACCGTAAAGTCATCCAAATCAAAAGGGTTGTCCATGCCTTCATAATTATTTTGGGGTGGTTGGCTGAATGAGGCAATGTCAGGACGATAGTCTGACTGGTCGTAGGGTGACATGGGTGTAAATGTTTGGGCTGGTAAGGGTTGATTTGGTGTTTGAAATTGGGTGTTTATGTGGTTTGTAGTATCCGTGGAGTATGTTTGGTATTGTGGTGGATATTGTTGGTATTCGGACTGTGAATAAGTTTGCGTGAATGGGGTGAATTGGTTAGGGGTATGTTCATATAATTGTGGTTGTGTGAGTGGGGGTTGGGTTGGAGGTTGGAAATGGGGTTGGGTTGGTGGTTGGAAATGGGGTTGGGTTGGCGGTTGGAAATGGGGCTGGGTTGGTTGTTGGGGTCTTGATGATGTGGCTTGTTGGCGTGGGTCAACAAGATATCTTGGATGCGAAATGAAACCGATGGATACCTCCCTATACCAATTCATGTATTGGATAGTCTGTTTTCTCTCGTTTGGAAACACAGTGTCGGACAAAATAAAATGGCGACGATGCTTCCATTCACAACACTCATGTTTTGCATACTTGGTCCATGGAGAATATTCTCATTGGTCGGAGACTTTACCGGTGTGATATTTGTTGGGGATGCATTTCGGCGGACATGGAATATCTTGAAGCATTCCAAACTGAAGCTTTACACGATCACTGTTGTGCATCTCCACGATTGTGAAGTTGATAATCGACATCTTTGCACTCCAGAGTCATGTTGGTTAACTTCGTGAATGGCTTCTAGACCAAGATATGGCCGCCAAATAAACTGTAGGAGAAAAAAATAATATTTAGTATTTTCTAATAATATTTAAGGAGACTATATTCTAAATAGGTAAGTTAAGGATACTATATTCTAATAATACGTAGTACTTACATCATCTTGTCCCAAATGATCTATAAGATTTCTATATTGGGTGATACTGAAATGGGGACAATTGTCGTAATTCATCCCAAGTGAAGACCACCTACAAATCGAAAAGAAAACATTTGTTAATAATAGGATAAATTAAGTAAAAGACTATGAAAGATTGATCATTCTTGGTCTAAGTAATTACCTTGTAGCGTATGGGAATTCAAAATTATTTTGTTGGATAGGTGCTAGATTGGTCATCCTTGACCATCCCCAAGCTTGAAGAAGAACACCACAACCGGTCCAATTTCCCGAATTTGCTATTGCGTTATTACACAAAGACCGATATAGGTGCGCTAGTGTAGCGGACCCCCAACTATATGTTCTTATTTTATCTATATCATCTAGTAAAACTAAATACATAGAGTGGATAGCGTTGCCACTTGTATCGGGAAATAAAAATAAACCTAGTAATAACATAATATAAATTCTTGTTTTTCTTATTTTCAATATTTCTGGAGAATCTTGGGTTAGCCTCATTTCTCCAAAAATTCTTTTGAGCCATGATAATAATATTTTTTGGCCCCTCAAATCTCTTGGGGTTGGTTCAACCCCTAAGAGTTCTTCTATAACAGTACCGCTAGGATTAGTGAGACCGTTTAATAATATTTTTTGGCCCCTCAAATCTCTTGGGGTTGGTTCAACCCCTAAGAGTTCTTCTATAACAGCACCGCTAGGATTAGTGAGACTGTTTACCGCCTTACCATTAATAAGTAAACCCAATAACATGTGAGTGTCCTCGAGAGTAACTGCACATTCACCTATCGAAAGATGAAATGTATGCGTCTCGGGTCGCCACCTTTCTTGCAGTGCCAAAATGAACTTGGTATCTAGGAGGTAATTTGTTATTTTGATGACTTCTCTGAATCCTGCGCGCTCCAAAAATGGTCTAATGATCGGGTCATATGGGAAATGTTTATGCCCACGAGTTCGAAAGTCATGAGTATTCTACAAAACAATAAAACAAATGATTACAACATTGTATTTGTAAAACAAAACAATAAAACAATGCTTTAAAATATTATAATGTATTATCGGGTACGAATACTTACATAAGAAAGGATGTTGCTTGGTGTTCCTCTATGCGTTTCGCCCAATGTTAACAGAGACATTTCTCCTATAATTTTAATATATGAAGAAGAAATTGGTAGAATTTAAATTGTAGAATATATTTGATGAGTTTTTGTGAATGAGGAGGAGAAGTATTTATAGTAAAAATATTGAATTTGAAATTTGAATTTTGAATTTTGAATTTATGGTGGTAGAGGTAAAAATTTAATTTGTGTAGTTGAAATATTAATTGTTGTAAAGAGGAGTAAATGTATATGGATGAAGTGTGTAGAAAATATATTACACTTTGCATTCTGCATGCATGCAAAACACATTTTTCGTACACTTGTCATGGGGGAGCCAACCCCTATGACGCCCCCTTTGAAAATTAATGAAGGGGAGCCAACCCCCATGGCGCCCCCTTTGAAAATTAAGGAAGGGGAGCCAACCTCTATGGCGCCCCCTTTGAAAATATTGTCTGGTCCAATCTCTCAATTTTTTTACAAAAGTCCCGTATTCTTTGACAACAATCATGTCAAGTATTTTCAAGAGAAAATACAAGACGACAGCGATGTAGATCAAATGTTTGATACTCATGAACACTCTGGGTTCGACTATATCGAGGTTTATCTATTACTCTGCCAGACTCAACATCAAGTTGGTGAAACAACGGAAGTAGATGAAGTTGATGTCGTGGACGAGGAGGAAGAAGAAACTGAGGCCATGGTTGATTAAATGGTTAATTTGTTCGGTACTGGGGACTACACTGCACTAACTCCGCTTCAAGACATAGATGAGGAGACACTACCATTGAGGCATATGTATTGTCCTCCCCAACACATGACGAACTTGCAATTGAGTGGAGACGATACTTCCTCAGATGTTTTCTACAATCCTTCTCAACAAATTGAAGGTGTTTTGAAAGTGGGAAACCAGTACCGAACAAAAGAAGAGTGCATGAAAGCTGTAAGAAAGTTTCATATGGATAACTTCATTGATTTTTACATCAATCGGAATGACGCGAAACGCTATGTTGTAGTTTGTCGTAACGCAGATTTCAAGTTTTGGTTAGCAGCATCCTATCGGAAAAGAAGTGATTGTTGGGTTATAGGTTTGATGGATCCACCGCATAGTTGCACAACCAACATCAATCGGCAAGATCATGGAAAACTGAGCTCTCAATTGATATCCCAAGAGATCTTGCATCTTGTTGGCACAGATCCATCTGTGAAGGTGAGCACAATTATCTCTTATATTGTTACACGGTTCAACTATACCCCATCGTACAGGAAAGCTTGGATTGGAAGAATAAAAGTTGTTGAACATGTATATGGAAATTGGGAAAGATCTTACAATAAACTTCCACAATATTTACTAGCACTTCAAAAATATGTTCCCGGTACGGTTGTAATTTTGGAGTCACTACCAGCATACACTCCTGAAGGAACATGTGTTGATGGTAGTAGGATATTCTCTCGTCTCTTTTGGGCATTTCAACCATGTATAAAAGGTTTTGCGTTCTGCAAACCGGTTATTCAAGTCGATGGAACATGGTTGTATGGAAAATACAAAGGAACATTGTTGATGGCGGTTGCACAAGACGGAAATAATAATATATTTCCGATTGCCTTTGCCCTGGTTGAGGGTGAAACAGATGAAGCTTGGAGTTTCTTCCTCAGAAATCTCAGAACACATGTCGCTCCTCAACCCAACTTATGTCTGATTTCCGACAGACATGCCTCTATTGTGAGTGCCTACAACAATCCTGCTAATGGTTGGCACAATCCTCCTTATGTCCATGTCTACTGCATAAGACACATTGCTCATAATTTTATGCGGGAAATGAAAGACAGAAATCTCCGCAAAAAAGTTGTGAACGCTGGGTATGCCTTAAACCAACCATCATTCATGTATTACCGCGAAGAAATAAGATTGTCAAACGCGGAAGCATTAAGGTGGGTGGATAACATTCCAGTCGAGAAATGGACAAGGGCTTTTGATGGAGGAGCCCGATGGGGTCACATGACCACAAATCTAGTAGAATCCCTAAATGGTGTATTTAAGGGAACTAGAAACTTACCCATCACTGCGTTGGTAAGAGCAACCTATTACAGATTGGGGTCACTATTTGCGGCAAGAGGCAAAAAATGGAGCGTTGTTTTGGAATCAGGGCAAATATTCAGCGAATCCAGTA